CCAGAAGGAAGTGCAAAACACTGCAAAATCGTCCCTGTTAGCGAACCCGCTTGCAGGGTTTAGGGTTTAGGGTTTAAGATTTAGGGTTTAGGGTTTAGGGTTTAGGGTGGGTTTAGGGTTTAGGGCTGGTTTAGGCTATAGGGTTCAGGGTTTAGGGTGGGTTTAGGGTTCAGGGCTAGTTTAGGCTATAGGGTTTAGGGTTGTGGGTGGGTTTAGGGTTTAGGGTTCAGGGTTGGTTGCTAGAGGATCTCTCACAAACTCACTTTCTGTTGTCAGTCTCGGCGGGGTAGAGCACGGACCCTCTCCTAGCGGATTCCTAACTCAACAGTCTCGAAGCAAAAACGGCGGCTTCGGGAGCCAGGAACCCTAAACCCCAACCCTTAACCCTAAACCCCCAAACCCTAAACCCCTAAACCCCTAAACCCCTAAACCTCTAAAGCCCAAACCCAAAACCCGAAAGCCCTAACCCCTAAGCCCCTAAACCCTTAAACCTCTAAACCCCTAAACCCCAAAGCCCAAAGCCAGGATGAGGAGCTTTACCTTGGCACCTGCTTCAAGAAGTGCCCGCCTCCCAGCAAATGACTGCCGGAGTCTCTCGTGAGGATAAAAAAAGGGGCCTTAAACAAGTAAAATAGGTTGTTTAGGGTTTAGGGTTTAGGGGCCTTAAACAGTTAGAATCGTTTTTTTTTGGGGGGGTTCCTTTTAAGGGTTCCTTGAAGGGTTCTATAAGGGCCATTATAAGGGTTTAGGGTTTAGGGGCCTTAATGAATAGAGTAGGGTTTGAGGTATGTTGTACTATAATTTATAATGAGGAGCGCCCAAAACCCTATTCTGATGATTAATGGCCTAGGGTTGCTAAGTGAGGCTCTGTTCAAAGGACTCGTGCGTACGCTGGTTTTCGCCAGCTTTGGTACAGAGCTGCGCCTGAATCTGTTAGCTGCACAGCGTTGCTGTGTCTGGCAAGTGTTCCGACCGTCGCACTTGCACTTTTCCAGAAGAATCTCTAAACATGACCTTTGTGTCCAGGCTATTGTCACGACCCCAACAAAAGCATTGTTCTAGTAAATTACCCTGATGCATGAGTCCTAAACCGCAGTCTATGTGTCAAAACTCAATTTGTGTGTCAGTCCCGGAAGCTGAAAAGAAGCCCACAGAACCCTCCCCCGCATGAAAAGCAAACACACACACACACACACCGACACTCCGACACCGAGGCTCCATTCTGACGAACAATGTCTTCCCTCACCGGAAGGCATTTGCCACGTGCTGCAAGGCCGCAAGGGTGTGGGGAGGAGCTCTAGGGATTCTGATTCTGCTTGGGTTCCATTTAGGGTTTAGGGTGTAGGGATGCTAATTGGGGTTATGACACTTAGAACTTTCACAACTTTGTTCTCCAACACCCGACCTTATCTTAGTAGTAACCTGAAAGTGTAACCTTTTACTTCCCTGGCTTATTGGGGAAGTAAGGTCAGAGATTCGCTTTAGGGCTTGAGGGTTGTGCTTTCTCTCGTGGGCTTCTCAGGGTTCAGAGGTTCCGGCTTTATCTTAACAGTATTTATCCTTGAAATCCTACCTTTTTTAAGGAACTGTATCTGGACCTCCTAATCGAGAGCTCCAAAAACGTCGGTTTCTGAGGGTTGAGGTAGGGCTTGTGGGGTTCCGATGGATTTCGTGTTTAAGGTTTAGGGCTCAGGGTAAGAAATCGATCTCAAGTTTCTGGTTCAGGGGTAAAAGATACTGAGATACTGATATCGAATTTTGGCAACATTATCGAATTTTGTGCAGCCCTAAACACTAAAGCCAGCCCCTATGTAAAGTTATTAAGTTGCTACGTCCAAACCCCGAATCTAGGACATTTTCAGGTGGGTAGTTACCGTTACAGGAGCCTTATAGAAGGTCTATATACCTTATGGAGGCCTTATAGAAGCCCTATATACCCTAAACTCCCCTAAACCCTAAGCCCTAAGCCCTATATACCCTAAACTCCCCACCTGTTGTTTCCTTAAACCGAAGCAGGCGACGAGCCTGTTCCAGTGCCTCATGCCCGGCTACTCGAAGACGGACGAGGCCAACTTCGGCTTATTCGGGCGCGTACGGGTTTAGACTTTATATGTTCTATGGTTTTGGGAGTGTCAGTGTTTATACTTTAATCAATCCCCAGTATATACACATCTTTAGATATAAACAAACAAATAACTATAAATGTAAATATATATATATATAATATCTGAAAGAAATCACTACAAGAAGCAACTAAGGCTGCAGATTTGTAAGTGGGTCTAAGCCGAAAGCGGAGCCTTAGAAAGCCCTGGAGCCCTGAAGAGCGCACCGGTGCTCGCAGGCCTTCACCGAGGGCGGCGGCTTCGGCGACCACGACCCGAACACGCCAAACCAGGCGTCCGGCACCCCAGAGTCCCAGAGCTCTGGTCTCCAGGTTTTTGGGGTTTTGGGGTTTTGGGGTTTTGGGGTTTAGGGGTTTAGCGGTTTAGGGTTTAGGGGTTTAGGGGTTTAGGGGTTTAGGGTTTCGGGCTTTAGGGTTTGAAGTGTAGGGGTTTGGGGTTTAGGGGTTTAGGGATTTAAGGATTTAGGGTGTAGGGTTTGGTAGAATAGAAATCCTAAGTAGTAGGATCCCGAGCAAGGAGACTTACAGAACTCCTACGTAGTAGGATCCTGGATATAGGGAGATTCGAAAAAACCCTAAAACCTAAACCCTAAACCCTACACACTCAGCCCTAAGCCCTAAACCCTGAACCCTAAACCCTAAAGCCTAAACCCTAAACCGTATTTATGTACAGAAACGCCCTTCGGCCAAGGCACGCCCCGATGCAAAGCTTGACGGAGGCGCAATAAACGACGGCAAAAGCGCTGCTCTCAGAGTGGACTCTACCTGAACCTTAAACCCCGAAAAAGCCTGCCTGCCCTTGTTTTGGGGTTCCCTATCATGATTTCCGTGGTTCAGGTCCTTCAAGAAAGTAATGACATGAGGCTGTTTAGGGGCATAGTTCATCTGATCATGGAGCTGGATTCAGATGCGTGGGTTTGCCTGTGAAGCCACGCTTCAAAATTCAAAAGAAATGGTACATGGCCCTGCAAGGTTTGGGTCTATGGCTGCGGGGGCGGCATTGTTGGTTTACGCATTTCAGTACTCTGGACTCTGGGGGCTAGGCTTCATGAGGTTTAAGGTTTAGGGGTTTAGGGTTTAGGGTTTAGGGTTTAGGGTTTAGGGTTTAGGGTTTAGGGTTTAGGGTTTAGGGTTAGGGGGCAGACCTCAGGCCCAAAATCCTCAACAAGAAGCTTAATCTATAGGTTTAAAACCCAGGCATCCAAACAGGAACTCAAGAGAGTTGAGTTTCTGGATTCCAAGTTTGGTTTTGGCGTCGGCATAAACCCTGTTTGCGAGTGAGGCATAGCCACTTTTGCCTTAAGACAAGGCTTCAACACTCTTGGCGGGGCTATGACTTAAACTTGACAACAAAAACCACGGGAGCCCTGCTCTTTCCGAGGCCGGAAGTTTGGTCGCCTTTTGACCATTTTGGCGAAATTCGATGTGCACGCGAAATCTCGCAGATGCGAGAGGACTTTGGTTGGAGAATCCCAACCAATTTCCAGGAAGGGGGGATGGGTGGGACTTTGGGCAAATTTGTCCCCCGACTTCGGGGTCATAAGAACAAGAGTTCAGCAAGAGTCGCAAGGCTATATGTCGGTAACCCCAGCTTGGGGGATAAGTATAAAGCCTGCACTGGGCTTGGCGTACAGTATATCTCAGACCCCCAGTCCAAAAACTGTAAATTTGTTGGCGACTGCCAAGGCGCAGCTATGCATGAGACAGCTTGCTGCATCGGACAGAGAAGATCTCAAGACTGTCAGGGGTTAGATTTATAAGTTTAGGGTTATAGGGTTTGGGGCTTAGGGTTAAGATAGGGTTTAGGTTCTAGGACGTAGGTTTCTTTTGGTTTAGGGTTCAGGGTTTAGGGTTTGTCCTTCTTGAGTCCGAAGCATCGGCCCCAAATCCGAAATCTTGAAATCCTGATACGGAGGGAAGAATGGTTGTAATTGCCAACGGAGGCTCAAATTCGATTTTGGAAGAATACTACTCTGCATCGAAACTCCCTGTGTTTTCGGGGGGGATACTGAACTTCCGGGACTCTGAAAGGCCGTGAGAAGAGACCCCTGCCCTGAAATCGAAAGCATCTCTTCTTCCCGCACCCTCAGCAACTCACATGAAGCCTGTAAATCTGAGCCCGTGAAATCCAGACCCTAAACCAACAACATCTCTAAACCCTAAACCTACATCCCGCAAGGAGTCCAAACAAGGGCTCCCAAAATTTCTTCAGACTGGACATGCCAGGTTCTATTCCTGCGGTGCACTCGTCAACCTAGCTGCCGACCCGGTGCTTGCCTGAGATCAGCCCGAGATTATACTGTTGTGCAGAAGCTGAGGGCCTAGAAAGGGTGCGACCGCATGTGCTGTTGTCCCTTCGGCTCGAGGAATGCACGCCACGTCTGACCGGCTCGACACCGGCGGTAGAGAAGCTGGGGAAGGCCAGGAAATAGTAAGGTATAGTATAGCAATTTAAAGTAATAGTGCAGTTTTGTGTTCAGGGTATAGGGTTCAGGTAGGGTTTAAGATTCTGTCTGGATGGAGGGTTCGGGGTTTAACGAGGTGTGGACGGTTCAGTGGCCACAGTCCGAAGTTAGAAAGTTTTAAAGCCCAATACACGAAGCCGCAAAACCATCAAACCTATCAACGTCTATGACTTCCTAAAACCCCAAAGCCCTGAAACCGTAAAGCCTTGAATCCCGCAAAACCCAGCCCGAAGCCCAAATCCCATGCCATCGCCAGCTCCTTGGGGACGCGCCGACGGATGACCCACTGCTGCAGCTGGTGGCCGTGAAGGCCATGAGCTTCGCTTCTTTCAGAGCTTGGAGGTTGGGTTAAAGTGTTTAGGGTTTAAGGGCTTACTTACCCTGCCTCGAGCTTCATTTCTGCAGATGCTGCATCTGGAGCTTTCGGACGCGCGGCCCCCGAGCTGAAAGCCTGCTTGTGCAGATTCCGCATTTTGGGCTTTAAAAACTGCGAAGCAAACACTTGGGAGCGGAAGTAAGGTGCTTCGATGTTTGCATGAAGGCTTCGATGGGTTTGGTTCAGGGCTTGGGATGCTCGAAGCCCCTCGTTTGCAAGGCTGACGATTAGGAGCTGCATCTCGGGCATCAGGAGCATTGGGAGTCGAAGCTTGCAAGTCCGAAAGAGCATGATCCACAGTCTCCGGCAGGGATTGCGGATATGGACGCCGACACTACGTCCACAAGCAAGGCAGTTCATCGCTTTCGGTGGGTCTTCTCGTTTGCTTCTTCAACGCGAGTGGCCAGATGATTTGACCATGACACGGGCGGCACCTACCCAGCGGTACCTCGGACAACTGCCTGACCTAGTGGCTGAAGCTCAACAAAAGCCGTGCAGAATGCACAACCCTCGTCCTTGGAGGCGACCGAACGGCTTGGGTGAAAAGCAATGCAGTCGTTGTGGACGATGGCAATCTGAGTTTCGGGGTCGAAGCACTCTGTGCAGAGGATGTGAAAACGAAAAGAAGTTGGACTACCATCGCACTTTGCGTGGGAATGCTTCTGTTATGTCCACGAATGCAAACCGAAGAGGGCCAATGAAGGGTCTGCCGGGTAGAATAGAGAAACAAGATGTGTTGCAGATGCTGCTACATCAGCAAGGACGGTGTGCATACTCGCAGGTTCCTATGGAGCTCCAGTTTCCACATTCACATTGGCGTATGTCCTTGGAGCGTGTGAGCAATTCTCTAGGGTATTCTCGTGAGAACTGCGTACTAGTAGCTGCTGAGTTCAACACCAGCGACTACAGCAAGATGCCGGGTGTTAGGCCAGAGCACGTACAGGGCACAGCCCAATGGTCCATTGAGAAGGTCCGGTTCGTCGCCAAAGCGTGGGACTTACAGCCAGATTTTCGTGGACTCGAAAAGGACGTCAGTGAAGCGGTTGATGACTTCAAAAAAACCGGAAGGTCGTCCGCCAATCTGCTTAGAACGAGGTGTAGAAGGCTCGCAGCTGATGCTTGCAGACGCGCAGCAAAGAGAGGCCAGCCCTATGAGATTCGGCACGGGGACATTCTGCAGAAGCTGCTGGAGCAAGAAGGGCGTTGCTTCTACTCCGGGGTTCCTCTGCACTACACAGGGAGTCATCATGACTGGGTCATGTCGTTGGAAAGACTCGACAACAGTCTAGGGTACACAGTGGACAACTGTGTCCTGATTGCAACCGAGTTCAACACACCGGACCACAGTCGCAATGCAGTCAGAGAAGTGAGTGGATCCTCCCAGTGGTCGCTGGCCAAGGTGATGCACGTTTGGGGCCGAGCCGGATTTCTAGAACAGCAGCCTTTTGCTGAGTCGATCATACCACCTGTGCCCTTCTGTGAGACTACCCCTGTGGTTCCCGGCAGCCCAGTTTCAGGTTTGTGAAGTTTCCTGTCTGTTGCAGAGAAGACAACTCTTGATCAACATGCTCGCTGTTGCCATTCATGCTCCCGGAGAGCTTACCGTTTTGACCTGCTGAACTGCTTCGGCACGACGCTGGAATCCATCGAGTCCGACCGTTGCAAGCCGACACTTCCTGACGCGGCCATCCGCGAGTGCTCCGACTGCTGCAGCTGATGCAAATCGCTGCAAGACGGGAGACTGCTGCTTGCTAGAAGCATCCGAAGCATCAACCGGGTTTAGAAACCCAGCGCAGCTTGAGAACTGCAAACCCCAGTCATCTCAACTGCCTGAACTTCGAAATCTAAGCTCTCGACCCGACTTCCACATCCCAAAGCCAGCTCTCCCTCCACCCAAACTTCACTGTTCCTGGAGACACGCGTGCTGCTGTTTCGACTTGTCGGGCAGTGCCATGTCTTCTGGGGGCAGCAAATTTTCTCTGTCAAGAGCTTGTGGTGCTCTGCGGTCTCTGGCAGGTGCTCACAAACCTCTCGCTGGACAGCCAGGCAACCTGGTCCGCTACCGACATTGAGGCGGGAATCTCGCAGATTTGCTGTGTCGAGGGCTCTTAGGGTCTATGGCGTTCCTATTGTCTTTGTCCTCCGTGGGGGTCCAAAACACGAAACAGGGACTGGCGGAACACTTCAGAGTCATTCGGGCAGTTCTGGAAGTTTTGGAGTTGTTTTGCTATACTTCCTCCAAGCAGCACCCAGGACCTCGGCCTTGCTAAACAGCTTGACCGAGAACACTTAAGCACTGGGCAATCGCCAGCAACAAGGGAAGGACGAGGGGTTCTCTGGTTCAAAGCACGTCTCCAAGCAGCATCCTGAGTTACCCTTGGTAGACGAGGGTGCGGAGCATGCGCGTAGCAAGACCGCGAACGCCAGTGAAGACAACTACCAGCATCCAGTGACACTCGGGAGAGCCATCTGTTTGACATCCTGGAGAGCTTGCAGCCCGGCTAAGCTGATTTTGGGCTGTTTCCCTCCAATCCCAACCATTGTCTTGAACAGACTCGAACATGCGAGATTTTGCTCTAAGTCCTCGAACTATAGCTCTGAAGCCGAAGACGTGGGCTTTGGGCTTTGCAGCGCTCTCCCTGCAGAGGCGGTTCGGAGTGCACTGCTGCAGACGATTGCAGAGAGCAAGGACGGCACCAGCAAGAATACCCCAAAAGCCCTTGATCCGAAACACCCGAAACCCTAAAGCCCCAAGATTCTGCAAAAGCTGCTGACGCTGAAGCCTAAATCTCCGAAGCCTAGGCCAGATCCCCTCTGAGATCCCAAGAACCCTACCGAAGGAGCTTGCGAACATCTCGGAGAGGTGCCTGTGGCTTCGGGTTTTTTCGGGGCGGAAGGGCTCTGGGATTTTAGTTTAAGTGCGGTAGGCCCAAAGCGGTTATCAAGGTTAATGTAGAAGCCTGAATAACTGCCAATATTTTCCCTTAGGCGTTCTTGTGACATCTTGGAACAGCTGTACTACAATATCCCCTCAAACCGCAATCAAGGCCCCTCCCTATCCTAGCAGTTCCTAGTTCGGAGGTTGATTTTCCAAGCTGCTCTGGTCATCGAATGGAGCTCCCACGGCATTGCAAGGCTTCTACAGAGACCTTGTGCCGAAGATGGGAGTCGGAATGGAGTACCCATAGGGCTCCTTATTAGAGTGCTATGACGTACCCCAAAACGCCATTGGGCGCTATGGTGGACTCCAAACCCCAGGCCCTGGGCACTTGTCTTGCAACTTGTTCACATGATCAATCCGAGTTGGATCAGGAAGTCTAACTTAAGCTCGATCCCCCTCTCGGGAAAGCGTTGTTTCATCAAGCCCAGAATAAAATCGAAGTTTTGAATGCAACCCGAACAAAGCTGCCCTACTCCCAACACCGTCAGCAGGCAGCAGCTTATCGAGCTGTCGCAGCAGCTTGTTGGCCGCCTACCGGAGTCGCCACGTCCTCACGTTCCGAGGGGTGTGGGGAGGTTTGGGGACGGAAGGCTTCGAGGCTTCAGGGTTGAACAGAGAACAATACCTCTAAGGGTTCCTTGTAATACTTACAGTCTAGCAGTCTAGCATACACCGGATGGCTCCGACCCCAACCGTTTAAACCGTATGCCCTAGAACCCTGTATCTCGAACCATCAACCCGACAACCCCTGAAACCCTAGACCGCCAGAAACCCTGCAGCAGAAGCTACAAAGCCAGAACCTGAGTATCTTCATGCCCTTTTGGGGGAATCCCAGCACTAATCGTACCCATCTCAAGTTCCAATCCTTTGGGGTTCACCCTAAACCCCCAACCCCTAAACCCCAAACCCCTAAACCCTAAACCCAGGCCGGATGCCGATCCCGGGTCTGCAGACGGTGCAGCCAAGGAGCGAAGTAGAGGAAAGTTTGCTGAGCTTGGTGTTGGGTTTTATGGTTCAGGCTAGGGTTTTGCCTTAGGGTTTGCGGTTTGGGGTTTTGTGGTCTGGGGTTTTATAGGGTTTGTCTAGGGGTCTAAAGTTGGGTTGACGGACGATAGCTTGGGATGGAATGCTACCTGGTTCATAAAGGTACACACTCTAATTTTTCAACAATTCGAAGTCAGAAGACTTGCAAAGACCATGCCGAAGCACTAGCAGCAAGAAGACCCCCCAACGCAACCCCCCGCCCGTGAAGCCTAAACCCTCAACTCCAGACCCAAAGCTCTAAAATGCGAAAGCACCCTAAACCCTAAACCTAAACCCTAAATCCTGAACCCTGAACCTCCAAGCTTCAGAAACCCTACTTCTGACCCGATTGGTTCTCGTCTTGAAGTCTGTGTAGTTACCAATACTGCTGTTGATGATATAAATCCTGCACTACCTAAAGGAACCTAAACTATGGGAATTACGGTAAATTCCTTCTTATGGGTAATGCAGGGTTTATGTCATCAACCGTATTTCCTAAAGTTCCGATTATGAATATAGCGTGCCATGCCCCAAAACCTTAATCTAATGATTAAGGTCCCTTAGTCCTTCTTGATTTCGTCCTCGCTCTCCTTGGTCAACAATTAGCCCAAGCCTCAAAGCCGTAAATTCTAAACCTGAAATCCTAAAGCCTCAATTCCCCAGTAGCTGCATCGCCCGTGAAACCCTAAAGCCTAAAGCAAGACTCCTTTACATAAGCCGTTAAAGTTAAGCCAGGATTGGTTCTACTGCACTGCCCCAGGTTGTGGAAGGCGCTTCGGCTCCCAGGCTAGCTGCCGGTATATGGGATTTCCATCAGGGTTTGGTTTAGGGTTGTAAGGGTTCTATTTTAGGATTTTAAGGGTTCTACTAGGGTTTGGGTTTAGGATTTTAAGGGTTCCATTAGGGTTTAGGGTTTTAAGGGTTCTATTAGGGTTTAGGGTTTCGGAGTTATAGCCTTTAGGGCAAGCCTTGGGATTCTGAGTTCTACTGAGATTCTACTTTTAAGGCGTGCCTAGGGTTTGGGGTTTAGGATTTTGGGTTTCGGGTTTTGGATTTGGGATTTTGGTTTAGGGTTTAGGGTCTTACGGATTCAACATCGTTGGGCACAATGGGAGTTCGAGGCAGTTCCTACGTGCAACTGCCCTGAGACCCACATTCTTGGGCTCCGTATTGTGATTTTGAATGTTGCCCTGAAATTGCAGGTTTGGGTAGATACCGCACGGTTTAAGGATTAAGGGCTTCAGGTTCTAGATTCCAGCTGAAGGGTCGCGGAGAAGGGTTGAGGGTTCCAGGGTGTTCGGGGTACTAGCTTAGCGTTCACAGCGTAGACGAGGGTTTAGGCTCGACGCTTGTAGCTTTAGTTTAGGGTTCTTCGCCATTTATTTAGGTATTCGGATTCAGGCTTAGGTCGAAGTTTGCGGTTTCCGAAGTGTTGGATTTCGGGACTGTGCCGTGGGGTGCACGGAGAAGGGCGAGTAGCAACAGGAAGAGGAGTTAGCACTGCTCCTGCTTCTGCCACTGCCCCTGCCCCTAAGCCCTAAACCCTAAACCCTGAACCCTGGACCCTAAACTCCCTAACCCCTAAACCCTTGAACCCTAAACTCCCTAAACCCGAAACCCTGAAGCCTGAACTCCCTAAGCCCGAAACCCTAAACCCGAAACCCTGCTACTGCTACCAGTAGTGAATCGCAAACGCGGAAGTACGACTATCGATTCCAGCGGCAACCTGTGTCTTCAGGGTTTACGGCTGAGGGTTCAGAGCTTGCGGGGTTTAGGGTTTAGGGGTTAAAGGCTTTGGGTTTAGGGCTTAGTGTTTAGGGTTTAAGGTTTAGGGTTTAGGGCTTAAGGTTTTGGTTTAGTGTTTAGGGGTTTTTTGTGTTGACGGTCGATATAGAGCCGAAATTCTGAAGGCTACAAGCTTTCCGAATTGACTCGAGAAGTCTATTCGAAGCCCAAAAGCGTGGAACCTCGTCTGCGCGGGGTCAAGTGCCAGGAAAAGCTTTCGGCGCACTTCGAGCGACGCCACGGTGAGCGCAACGCCGGCGGTTGACGGCAGCCGCCGTCGGGCTTAGTTGGCGGATGTCTGTCTTGGGCTTTCAGGTTCTAGGCTCTAGGTACCAGATGCAACTGGGAACAAGGTTTCGGTTTAGGGCTTGCGGGAACTTCTGCACTGCCTCTAAACCCCCAATTAGATGTGATGCAGGATTCTGATTAAGAAACCCTGGTCCTATAATACCAAAATGGTCGGATTCACATAAAGAACCCAGTTAAAGGCCCTGAGGCTAAGCTTCCTATAATAAGCTTTGCAGGCATGGGTTGCCTTGGTTTGCGGTGGACTCCGGCCTAGCATGTAGGTTCTCAATGCACTAGACCGTTTTCACAACACGTGAGAACGGAGAATGCGCCGTCCGTGAAGTTGCGACGGAAAAAGGGGTGCAGCCTTGCGTTGAGGATGCGCTGTCTTTGGAATCGCTGTTTTCGATTTGTTTACTGTTTCTTGCAGAACCCACGTGACGGCCCAGGGACTGGTGAGGCTTAGGTGAAACAGGATGCTTGGGTAAGCAGGTGACGGAGTGGGAAGTCGGGGATTCACGGCACCCTAAGCCCGAAACTCCCAGAATCCTCCCTAAACCCTGAAACCCTAAATCCTATGAGCCCCAAAAGCCCTAAAAGTGCATAAACCTTAGACACGGCCCCCTGAAGCGCGAGGTTCCGCAGCTATCCGTTCATGCTCAGTTGTATATAGCTTATATGTCTTAGTTTTCTCGGGGCACGACCAAGAAGCCAGAGTACAGCCGGAGCCCCAGCTGCGAAGGCTTCGCAGGGCTTTACACCATCGTTTCATACTGTTGACGGCGAGTTCGGGCTTGGGGCCGCCAAGTTTGGGAGCCCGCAGCTCCTTTTTGCAGGGGGGTTTAGGGCTTAGGCTTTAAGGGTTCAGTAAATTTAGGGGCTTGAGGGCTAAGTTAGGATCCCTTTTGCCCAGTTGATCTGTGCCTTTCGCAGCTTCCTTCTGGCAGAAGGCCCTACACCGTTCAGAGGATCTTACAGTTGAGCCTTTCAATAAGACTTTACCATATCATATCTTAACCCATGTAGTGTTGACATACATTTTTGGCGCATGGGGAGATGTGCCGGAATGGAGTTTGCACTCAAGTTCACGTTGTCTCTCTGTTCGAATGCTCTCAACCCGATTGGAAATGATGATGAGGATGAGGATGATGAAGATGAAGATGATGATGGTGATGATGATGACTGTGATGACGGTGATGATGATGAAGATGAAGATGAAGATCGTGATGACGATCATGACGATGAGCTTGAACCCTAAAGCGACCCCCTTCCTGTCTCCCGACGAAGGACCTCCTGGCGTGCCCCTACCAAAGTCTTTTGACCAAGATCCGATCGCCAGCACAGAGGAGCCCGGTTTAGGGCTTAGGGCCTAGGGTTTTGGGGTTTAGGCTTCGGGGTCGAGGCCGCGGGGATAGGCTTTCAAGGTTTAGGGCTTGGATTTACGGCCAGGTAAGGGTTTGGCATTTAGAGAACAGTGGGTGGGGGACTGCAAGAATGTAGAATCCAGAGCCTGTTCGACAATAGAATCGTCCGGAAAACCTGGTCTGGCTAGTTAGATCCCTTGCTTTTAGTGGGTGTCGCGCTTGAGACAGTGCGGTCGATTTCGGCGCTTCGAAATAAGAAAATTTTCCATCAGTAATACTTCGGCAAGGTCTCTAGTGCTATCCTTTGTGCGTTTCTGGCTCCAGAAGCTAATCGGCAGATTAGCAGCTTAACCTACCTCGAATGATTGCTTTTGGTTTGCTTTTCGCCCTAAGACCGAAACCCCAAACCCTAGTCACTGGAAGCCCTGCAGCTGAAAGCAGGAAAAAATCTTAATTCCCCGTCCCAAAAGCGCCTCTCTGTGTTCAGGCGGAAGTTGCTCGAACTCGGGATCTATACGGGTTCTGTTTGGGGTTTGAGGATACGGGCTTCGGCATGTGGTTTAGATTTCAGGATTGATACAGTTTCGGGAAGCTTCGAAAAGCTGAAGAGCCTTGAACTTTGGACCCAAACCCTCCGAAGCCCTGAGCCCATGCCCTTTTCCCCCCAAAACCCTCTGCCTATACTGGGCCTAAACGCCTTCCTTGCCTTCTTCCATCAGCGCTGAAGTTCGCAGAGATTCATGCCGTCACTCATATAACCGGAAGCTTCGCCCGACTTCGCCCAAACTTAGTTCCCCAAATCCCAACCTTTAAACTTTTTGGGTTCTTATAGCTTAGTAGTGATCTGAAAGTTTAACCTTTTATTTCCCTGGCTTGTTGGGGAAGTAAGGAAGCTTCGCCCGACTTCGCCCAAAAGGAGATGACGGCACCGCCACCACCTGCCAGTTCAAACGGCTTGCAGTTTGCGTCACTCTACGCTCTGGCCTTAGACGCCGGAAGGCTCTGGGGTCAAAGCCGGAAGGTGGAGCCAAGAAAGGTACGAAGTTTCGAACCCTAAACCCTAAACTATGGGGTTTCGTGAGGCCTTGAAGATGTTTGGGGTTCAGGGTTTAGGGCTTAGAGGTTTAGAGGTTTCGTGCGTGAGGGTTTTGGGGGGTCACCCTGTGGCATGCCGTTTCATGAGGATGGCAGTTCCAAAAAAATGCAAAGTTAATGTAGGGGCCGCCTAAATAATTACCTCTACTATTTTGGGGGTTCCTTATTATAATTAGAGTATAAGGGGCCCCTAACCCCCTACAGTAGATGCGCTTCAGTGAAGCTTGACTTAGACAAACGTCCTACACAACCCAAAGAGCCTAAACCCTACCCAGAGACTCCAATATTCTTTAATTAAGGAATATTCCTTAAATTATAGTAGGATCCTTAATATGATTTAAGGAATATTCCTTAATTAAGGGATATTGGAGTCTCTGGGTACACAGCCCAAAGATCTTGAAGCCAAACCGAAGACACACCCGACTTCCCCCAGCTCGCAAGAGCATCCCTTAGTGGCAAGCCTTGGTTTTCTGTGGTATTCAGGGTTTAGGGTCAGGGTTTGGGGGTTTGGGGTGTAGAACCTGTACCGGGCATGGCCTGAAAAAGGATCGAACCTCGGTTTGGATAAGGTCAGGACTTCGAGGATTCAGGTTTATGCGGTGGTACTCCTATGGAGGCAGGTTAAAGGGGAATCCTTTCAAGCCATACAAAGGGGTGAGAGAGAGCGGGGTCCAGACCTCAGGGGCTCAAGTTTTCAGGCTTCCAGGAGATCTAGGGCTTAGATGGGGTGTGAAGGCAACTTATAGATCAAGCCCTGTCAAAGCCACATGTTGAAACCGCCTGAGTTCACAGTAAAGCCCTTTTCTAGTTCTTAACCCTAAGCCCTAAATCCTAAACCCTATGAAGCTCAGGTGGGCGATCTCCACCCAGATGTTGGCGAGGCAATCCCTGGATTTCCAGACTCTGCAACTCTCAATTGGAGACCGACAGAGGGGGCAGGGTTTAAAATTTAGGGTTTAGGCTTTAGGGTCAGGGCATCTATACCAGCAAGCCCAGATGCTCATCCAACCATGACAAGAAGCCCTCGATCATCTAGGGGGCATTGGGCTCTCTGTGTAACCTTTGTCCCTTAATCTCGTTTGGGCACCCAGGAGCCTACAATAGTGAAAAGCTTTGCACATGAACTTAACATCCAGCGAAGCCAAAGCTTCGAAACAGCTGAACAATTTAGGCTCTTCGGGTGTAGGGAAATGGGATCAGCAGCAGAAAAGTCGGAGCTGTTGAGGAATTTAGGGAGCCTTGTCTAGCTATGACCGTGTACGGCTTTGCATATTCTCAACATGACAGGGTTTTTTTGGAGTTGTGGGATCGTCATTTGGTAGTATATAGAACAAAGCTCCCCACCATGATAATTATCGTTATTTGGGAGTCTTTGTTAAGTTCCCTTGTGATTCTTCCCTTCGACATCATGAGAACTATCCGTTCAACCTGCTCAGTGGCTCGAGCTTGCGGAACACCAGCGGCCCAGTTCTAGAAGCAGGTTTTCTAATGGCGCTGTCTCAGTGGCTGTGCCTGACATTCCTGCTATGGCCGAGGACAGCATCTTCGCATTCGGCAATGCCGTTTTCCAATTAAACCTTAAATCCTAAACCCTCCAGTTCTCATACAAGCCCAGCACCCTGAAACCCCTCGACGCTGCGCCTCTCCCCTTGGAGTCCCTAAATCAATATGTTGCAGCTCTATGCGCGACAAACGGGTAGTTCTCTAAAATAGGCTCCCTTTGTAGTTGCCCAAAAGAGTCCTAGTCCGGCACCCCTCTAAGTTATACCCTAAAAGGGATCCTCATGTAGAGAACTGCCAAAACGTCGGGAAGGATGGGTTCGGCCGAGAAGATGCGGGCTGCAGTCGTCAGCAACCGCAGCTGGGATCTCCAGTTCCACTTGGAGAAGGTCGCGGCTTGCATGGACTTGGGCATCTTCTTTGATGAAAACACCCAAAGCCGCATTCCCCAACTTTTTAAAACCTGGTTTAAGGGTTTAGGGTTTAGGATTTAGGGTTGTTTTAGAAGAGATCCAACTCCCCAAAACCCTATTCCTGAAACATTTAACACGTGTCGCAGCGTAGCTCCTAAGAGTCTTCCGCCACTGTCGGAGAAAGCTGCATCCCTAGGTTTGATGCAAGCATAGGTAGTATTATTAGGGTACCCCTTAAAGGGTACCCCTTCTGAACCCTACTTTTAGCTCTCTTAAAAGGGACCTTATNNNNCCCCCTAATCCTAGCTCCCAAAGCAGCTGGGCATGAGCTAAGGAAGTCATTGACGTGGTGACTTGCCTGCAGTCCGGTTTGAGGCGTAAGGTCTTGGGGTCTGAGAGTTTAACCGGACCCCTTAAAAGCGAACCTGATTTGAATCCCCTAAGCCCTAAGGCACAAAGCCCTGAACTGAAAGCTTGGTGTAAGGTTCCGAGATGATTTTCGGATTTAGTCTTATCGATGTTCAGGGTTTGTGTAGGGTTTGGGGTTTAGGGTTCAGGGTTTAGGGTCTAGGTTTAGATTTTACCTGAGCCTGCTGCGGAGGACATTCCAACCCCGGGCCACGGGGAAGTGCTGGTGAAAGTCTTCGCTTCAAACATCAACCCTGCATCTCGGCACAAAACCCCTTTCTTAAGGAGGAAACCGTAAGTAGTTCGCAGCTGCTTTGTAGAATGTATTACGGCAAGTACCTCGAATCATATGAAGAACCTTTGTAGAGTCTAAACTAAGGGGCCTCTCCGGTGGGTTTTGGAGCCTTTGCGTTCGCGCCTCCTCTGGTTCTAGGTGTGTAGATTTCGGGTCTTGGGTTTCAGGGCATGGGCTTTCCTACGGTTGATGATATAAAACCTGCATTACTCATAATAAGGAATATACCGTAATTGCGATAGTTTAGGGTCCTTAAGGTCATGCAGGATTTTTGTCTTCAAGAGTAGTAGAGCTTCCAGAACTAGAGTTAGAATATGGTTTCGCAACAACACGCCATACTTTAGGCAACATAAAGCTAATCAAGAAGTCACTTTACAATTTTACAAGACATTGGGTTTAGGGTTTAGGGAGGTTCGAGAAATATGGCCTGTTCCAGAGAGTGAACCCTAAACCCTAGAACCCTCCTTAAACCCCGCATTCACCGGGTGCTTAAATCCGAAACATTGGTCACTAGACACAGGACAAGACCTCATAGACCGGACAGTAACCCTCGGAAAGAGCTACACTCAGCCCTAAACCCAAGACCATAAACTCTAAGCCCTGAACCCCAAGCCTAAAACTCCCAAGCTATAGCCCTACGCCCTAACCCCTGAACCTTCAACCTCAATCTCAAGGTTGATCACAAGATCGTCGGCATGGCTGGCTGGAGCTGGAGCTATCCCCACAAGTTCTTTGACTCCTAAAAAGCCTTGGGTGTAGGCTTTAGGGTGGGTTTGGGGATTCTCGGATTTCGGTTTGCAGGGGCTGCTTCGCTGTAGCACGAAACCGCCATGTTTGCGAGTCTCCTCAGGGCTAAAAGTACTGTCTTGTGCTTATGCTGAGGATTGGCAATGTGTTGCTGTTCGTGTTGCATTGACTATGCGTTCTAAGGTTACGTCGAGAAGCTTCATGGATTGTTAAAAACAGGGTTCGGGGCTCAAAGCAGCTATTTATTAATCAGAGTTTAGGGTTTGAGGGCTTTGAGCCCGGAGACTCCAATATCCCTTAATTAAGGAATATACCTTAAATCATACTAAGGATCCTACTATACTTTAAGGAATATTCCTTAATTAAGGAATATTGGAGTCTCTGGAAGGGACTCAAAGGCTCAAACCGTGAACCATGGGCCGTTCCAGGCTGGGCTACGACGTGGCGGGTGTCGTTCAAGCCCTGGGCGCTGGCTGCGAGCGTCTCAAGCCGGGCGACGAAGTCTGGGGCGAGGCGCGCTGCAGCACTTGGAGTCTCAGAGGTTTGGGTTTAAGGTTTAGGGTTTAGGGTTTAGGGTTTAGTGTGAAACTGGAAGGAGC